GAATTTTAAGGGCTGAAAAATTTAACGTTCAGAAAGCAAAATAATTTTCTCTCCGAAGAATACTTTCACTCAAAGATAGATCATCGGTAGAAAAAAAATAATTTAATTTGAAATTTCTCATCCCTAGGGTTCTAGAGATGAATGGCAACGGTTTATAATTTACAATTAACGTAAGACGTAAAGGAGAGTCTAACTGACGTACAGATCACCGCACACCGCGAGCGAAGATATAACTTAATTTAAACGCGAGAACCACTTGCGCGGTTCGGTTGTTTACTTATCACTACCGTACGTAGAACGTTTTTTAAAATATATCACCTTACGCGCTAATAAGGCCTGTGTGCTTTAAGGTATTTACGTCCCCATTCTACGTCGCACGTGTATATAGCACTAAATAGCGGGTGTGCCGTTTCGAAATCCGATCGACCGCGTGGACCAAACTGATCGCGGATCATCGCTCCCCCGTCCGTCGCAATTTGATTCACTCGATCGACGTGGGTGACACGCGAGAAGAATAGTGTTCAATTAATTGTAAATATACACGATGAGAGATTCGGACGGTCGCTCCGTCTAATTACGAACGCGCGGCGTGAATGTGGAATCTTGGAGAATACCTCGGATTCTAGAGCTCGCTCGCTTATCACACGTGACAACGCGCATCGACGCGTGTGCGGGCGGCGATGTCCGGACACGCGTTCAGTGTCCCTTACAAATTAAAATCGGCGCGTCCTGCGTAAAAACGCTCAATTACCGTTAGTAGTTTATACCCTAAATTAAAAAAAAAAACGCGCTACCGTAAAATCGTACGAGAGATGAGGTCTCTTCTCGCTTCTTTTTTTTTCTTTTTGGTGACGACGCGGACGCTTGGAAATCTCAGCTCGCTCTCCGAGCGCGGGATTTATCGGGGGTCGGACTTTTCGAGTGGATTTTCTCGGACCGTTAAAGCAATCAGTCCTTCGAATCTCCGAATTATCGGATCCTCGTGTCAATCCTCTGAGTCTCGGAGCCCTCTCCGCTCTCGGCGAAAATCCCTCCTCTATACCTCCTCTATAATAATCTCCAGATCCGCGAAACTTCAGGAGCTTTAAATATCCGACGCGATTCCTGCATCGCGTTTTCTTTCCACGCGGATGGGCCCGCGTATCCTCGCGAGGGGGGGGAAGTCATTACGGAGACAAGATTAAACGAGACGTTTATTTAGCTCAGGTACGGAGGAATTAATTTCTCTCGCTTTCCGCTTTACGGTTCCAGCCCTTATTTTCCCCCCATCTTCTAACGTAATTTTACGTTACGTTTCGCCTGAGCAAACGTAAGCGGCAGGAGGCGGAAATGAACTTTAAATATTCATCGCGCGAGAGTCGCCAATTTTACAATCTGACATTTTCTAAATTAAATTAACATCGCATTATTTTTCCATTGGTATAAAAATGGAGAAATGAGATTATAAACGCGCCAGACAAAAGAACAACGATTAGGCAGTCTGTATCCAACGATTCTTGCTGTGCGAACAGATTTCGGGGTGAAAATCAGTTTGCAGTGTGGAGTCAAACGAGAATTGAACACAAATTGTGACGGTGTATCGTGTTTGTATCTCGACTACTTTCTAATCTGAATATTTCTTTTGTTTTTATTGTGTAAATACTTAAATAACTATTCGCAATAATCACTGTTAATTATTCGTTAATTATTCGCGTATACGAAATAAATAGAGTATTACGTGTCGCATGATTTTGAAGTCGAAGTCGTGGCGAGGGTAACGAGACGTCGCAGGAGGTCCGACGGACGATCCTGCGTTTCCGCGACATCTTTATTACAGCGTCGTTCGCACGATTAGAAAAATTAAAAGAACGCTCCGTCTGGTTCGTCGGTAATCGTCGATACGCGAAAACTACAACTGAAAACAAGAAGGTGAGAGAAATCGTGGCACGTGTGTCTCGCGATAAGACACAGATACGAGAGTCACGTATATCCGAAGTCGATTTAAGGACTCGCACGTGTGTTTCCGCCACATACGACGTGCAAAATATACGTGCGTTTAGAACATCACTATATTTTGCCCGCGTCAATAAGAGAAATTTTTGCATCTATGTTAATTGTTCGCATACGATCCGAGACTGCCGGGGAGTAATGTGAATCTTCGATTTCTCGAGTCCAGTGGAATTCGAGTCCGCGGATTTATAATTACAATTTTGGTCCTCTAGATGTAAGAATATCTCTAAGGAAACCACATGAACCCGAGGGTGTGTTTTTAGATCTTGTGCGAGAAACCAGGACACTTTTGATATTAAATTCGTAAGTTGAAATCGCTCGACTCGAAGCTTGTGGATATTTCTTCGAAATTTAATCCCATATTTTTAACTTTGATTCGGAACTTGGGATTTTTGAGGATTCTGGAGATCGAAAATCCTGAATCTTCGGCTTACTTACAGTTTTGTATAGCTCCCAACTTCAAACGCTCAAAATAGGGTCGTAGCAATTCCGACGGAATTCTTGAACTCGCCAGTCCCTCGAGATTCGATCGGCGATTGTTATATCAGTAAACTTGTTATCGTGGGTAAACATTGTTCAACAAATCGGGAGCGACGAGCTTTACCCTTGGGGGGGTGTCCAAGACCCCGTGTCCCTTGGCTAATAACAACTCGGGAATTCGGCGGAGAAAACGAATTTCGCGATCGATTACTTCCGGTGTCCCTGATACCGCGACGAGTCGTCCCTTACGTGTGTGTGGTCGAACAGAAGATCGCGCTTCCGACTGAAAGAAATATTTCTAAACGGCGAAATAAAATATTAAGAACAGATCAAAAGGCGCGGTGGGCTGGGCTCATCTCGAGTCGCTTAAATTATTTTACACATCCTGCGATACGGGCGCAGACCAGTCTGTGTAACCTGAGTCAATGATCAAATCTTAAGGAGAGTATCGTACAGGAAAATCGACTTTCCGGTGTCGGTCGTGTGTACGAGCTTGTACCTCCGGCTGGTCATCTTGTCGATGAAGCTCTTTGTTTCCGCCTCGCTGTGATGGGGACTCCACCGTATCGACAGTATCGATATTCTTATGACGTCCCATGGGATGGTGTCGAGTACCTGCGATATATAATTTTCAATCGCGCCCTTACGACAAGCCCTTGAAACGCTTGTTACCGACTTTATTTTTATAACTCTGATCAATCACATTCTAAAGTTTATATGCTTCTCGAGGAATTGTCACGCGGTATAATATTTCTGATTCTTCTAATGAATTTAAAAATCGCGAGTCATCGTAAATCCATATTCGTTCTTTTTAAATAAAGAAAACAATGAAAATATAGGTAAATATAAAATTAATACGTATACTTTTACATACTTTTCTAAACAAACAAGCAAATATAAAAATTTATTTATTTCAAGGATCGCCAAATCATTGAATTTATATTATTTACCTGGCCGTCGGGAGCGTCGGGACTGTCCAGACTTAGGTAATCCAAAGTTGTGGCGTTGTACGCCAACAGTACGCTGTAGAGAGGAAAGCACTTGAGTCTAGTGGTAGGAAAACCGTCGTCCGACACGAGGCTGTTAGGACCGTCGCCCAGCTTGGTGACCTGGACCTCCGATTCCTGGTGGTATTTTATCTGCAATAAACCGTTCGCGCGCATGAAACGCGTACTCTTGTCGCGTTTGAATCATCACTGCTCTCCCCCCCGCGACAATCTCCCGCGTTTCTCACCTCTTTGGTATCCGTGTCCGTGCTGAGACAGGCGTGGAGGACCCTCGATCGCGGTTGTCTCGTGCTTCGCTGCGCCTCGAAGAAGCTCTTGGGCTCGGTGAGTATCAGAACACCTCGCCAGCTCAGATTGGACTCCAGCCAAGCGGTGCTGGAAATCGCGCCTATCTGAAAGAGCGATGACACCCGACGGGCGATTGGTGACGGATTTTTACGGGCAAAATCCCGATAGGACGGTAAATTGGCGCGCCGGCCTAATTCTCGCTTCTGATTAATAATTAAAATGAATTGAAAAGAGAACCGGAAAGATACCCGAGGCTCATCTATCTCGTGCGCCTATTTTTAACCGATTGCGTGTCCGACGGAGATCCGCTACTTTCGCGTGTTTCGCTAATGTTACGGTGCACTATCGCGCGGGCGATAAAGAATTGTTAGCGCAGCCGTGCGGTATCTAAAACAGACTTTCAAGACCGTTGAGGCACCGGTATATACTTGGCGCTAATTTTAATTCCAAGACTTGATAAGATGCAAAGAGGGAGGGCGCATGCAAGACGGCGTGAATTTTCACTCAAAGGGATTCAGCTCCGAGCCTTTTGAGAGCCTTTCACGCTCGTGAACTTTCATATTATGCTGATTATGCATCGCTCGTTGCGCTCTCAAAAATTCATAAAAACGTAACATCAATGTGTATGTACAATATTATCGAGAAAATTTTAATCTCTCTCGCAATGCCTTCGTAAAATATTCCAAAATTGCCAATTTAAATTTAAACACTAAGAGAGTTCATACTTTTCCTGAAGAAAATTTCACGGAGGACTACTTGCTGTAACTTTTTAATTCTCAATTATAAATATTTCGGTAATTAAAGCGGAAAACTGAACTCCTAAAAGACACTTGAACCAAAGTGAACTGCAAAACGCGGTTATTCAATTACGGGAAATTACTTGCTTCGCGGAAACCTCATCCGCTTCTCTTTTTCAGCCGCTTATACTTCGAAAATTGTCGATGCTCCGTCTTTTTAATTAATGAAAGCTCATCCGATAATTGATCGAGGATTCTGTCTGATTGATTAAGGATTATAGAACATCCCGCGTGATACACGAACCATCTTTCACCGTTCGTAAACCGCGAGTTTCAACCAACAAAGAGATATTACGTCGTCACATTGGAAAAATGACAGTTCTCAGGGTGCGGTGACGGTGACACCGTGGGACATTAATCAGGAAAGATTTCTCACCCTACTGATGTATTCCGCGTAGACACCCTCGCGCTTGCCCTGCGACAACGTGGCCACGTACTTCTCCTCCGACGTCTGGTTGGCGTTCAACGGGTCCTGATGAGTCGTCGTTTTCAGATGCACCTGCCGTATGTACGCGACCAATTGCGGATTGTCCATCGAGACGCTGTCGAGCACGTAGTCTCTGGTCATGTTCGCGTCGAACGCCTGTCTCCTGTAACGGAACGTCTCCTTTAAGCTACAGCAGTGGTGTTCAGTCTCGCATAATCTGTGGAGCTCGGTCGTGTAATCGTCTCGCAAGGGAAGTAAAAAAAAAAAAGAGAAGCGCAAGGAGTATAAATTTTCACACGAGCTCGCCGAAATCCGATCGCTTGTACAGTATAAATCGCGAGTCGCCTGGCTCTCTTTGCGGCGCAGAACGATGGGATTTCACGTACGAGATGCACGTGGGATTTGAAATAATTAAAAGCGAAAAACTCTTCGGTAATGAGATTGCGCGTGGTATCAAACATTTCACAAAAGCTTAAAATATCCGTCGTCGTCTGATATAATCACCAAGAATCGTGATCTTGTCGTGACATTAAAAATGGGAACAAGTTTGATTGAAAATTAAAAAAGTAAAAAAAGATTTCTAATATCAAAATAATTAAAAAGTTTAAATTTTTCCCTTATCTAAAAACCATTTGATTTAATCTCACGAAAATTAATCGGCAGTTTACCTCAAAGCCGCGGCTTCGCTCCAAACAAGGAGCAGAACCATAGCGGTGGAAAAAGCGGCAAGAAAGGCGAGGCAGGGGGCCACTCTCCTCCACCAGGTCCTTTTGTAATTGGCAAACGACGTGCCGGTTAAGGTGGGCCCTACGGGCGGTGGCAGACCTCCGTTTGACGAAGGTGTCCCTGCGGGAGCCATTCTGCGGAAACACAACGAACGTGTAAACACGCGCTGCATGCAAATCATGGAAAAAAAAAGACACTCGTGATGAGCTGCAGACTCAAAACGCTTTTTGACACGTTTCACGAATTCGCTACCCTATTCTCCGAGGGCGTTTTTAATACCGAGATTTTTGGCAGCGGCAGATAAACAGGGACTTCCGTCTTTCAATAGCATTCCAATGGACAGTTGTGAAATTTTGCCAATTCTTCTAACTTCTCAGTCCAGCTAATCCAAAGAAATGTGGAAGGATTGACAAAGGATTAAGAAAGTAGAAGAAAATTAGAGTGCCATGTCTAGAGTTAACAGATATATTAAGCTATCTAACAAGCCAACTTGTAAGCCAAATTATCAGAACACAAAAAATTTTATATGGAGTTAATTTGCTAATTTGCAATTCTTTGCTTTTAAAAGTAATTTTTTGCTCCAGCTATTAAAAAGTTAAAATTAAGCTATCCAGCCCTTTGCAAATTTTTAATAATGCGAGCAAAAAAATTATTTTTGCAAGCAAAAAAACAGCAAAAAATATAGCAAATAATTTTGATATTAACTTTTTGCTTTGATTTATGTATGTTTTTTTTTTACAATGGCTGGATAGCTTAATCTTAAGCTATTCAGCCCTTCGTAACTTTTTAATAACTGGAGCAAAAAATTACCTTTAAAAGCAAAAAATAGCAAATAATTAGCAAATTAATTCCATATAAAATTTTTTATGTTCTGATAATTTGGCTTAGATAGCTTAATATACCTAGAGTTAACGGATATTGTTGGATGGATAATAATCGATAAGTTAATCAATAGCCAATAACATCTCTTGCTTTGCAATTAACATGTAGGATAGGAAGTTTGATAAAAAAAAAATCGATGAAACAGGAACTGACAGTTGGAGATTTATGTCATACCGAAATTAAATAGTTTGAAATATATGTTATATACTTATTTTAGCGTATCTTAAAATATATTGCAAAAGATAGTTTCTAAACCTTCTTTGGAGAAGGTTGTGCAATCAAATAGATGGGTCTTCTGAGACACCCTGTAAACACGTGCAGCAATGTATGCAGGTACACGCATGAGTCACCCTGCACTTTCTAACCGGCATTTTTTTCAGTCACGTTCAAGTGAATGCACGCCTAAGGATTCGAGACAAAGGAAGACCCTCATGAATCGGATTATAATTCGTTTGTTATCTATCACGCGTCGCCACGGAAGCTGTGTCCCGCCGAATTTAGAAATTCACCTCTCTTTCCCGACGATTTCGTTTTTATTCGTCATATTTTTTTATTAAATTTGTATTGTATTTTTGCGTTTATTTTATGCCGCGTCCAAGTTCGATAGAAAAATATATATATAAACGGGCAAACACGGCGCAACGATATTTTTATATTGTTTATTCGCTAAGTTACTGAAAAATTGATTATTATTTGTTTTGCAAAATTGAGATGCTCCAGTTTAAATGAAATAAATTATTTCGAGAGTTAATCCTGTGAAATGGAAAAACGTTTTTAATTCAAGCAATAAAAGTAGAAATTGATGGAATTATCTCCTCTCATCAGAATTTACAGAAATATCCTTTCTCGGCGTATACACGCGTTAGATAAGCCTGTGTGTTGCGCCACGCGGAACAATGTCTGACTCCGTTATTTGTCTCACACTGCGTCAAAGCAAGGTTCGCCGGCACGAACTTGGCGTCACTTCGTGCATCGCGAGGTTCGCCGCTAATTCACTGCAAAACTTTTAGCGAAGACAAAACAAGGCAGGTAGTGCTCGGCTTCATTAAATTTGCTTATATCCAAGTGGGTCTTCGCGATCGATGTTCCGTATAGCGTAAAACTTACTCTCCGATTAATTATCAATTTAATTTTAATTATCAGTTAAGTCAGTTGCCTCTCGTCGAAGATCATCGAAACGTCAACAGTTTCCGATTAAAAACAAACAAGTCATTCGAAGATAGCTAACGCTTACTCCACGTGCTCACAATCTCGAGCGAACTTTGCTTCAACTGAACTTTTATCATATTCCTGATTTCTCACGCACATTTAAGTTTCCAAAAAAGCTTGCACGAGATAAAATCGGAAACTCGTTACAGAATCCGCAAAATGAAGTCCGCGGACTTTATAATTTTCTCGGGAATGTAATTCGCATCTACTCACTTCATTTTCGTCGGTTTTCGCTCGTATCCTTTCTTATCCGTAAGACCGAAACTTGGGGATCATTCAGGTATATTCCCCGACCACTATCACTCTTTCGGTTCACGTGCGCGCGCTCGTCATCCCCCGCGAGTTTGATTCGGGGAGATCGGAGAAACCGCAAACTTGCAACGATAACGCACCCCGACACGCGTCTCACGTATATCAACGTCTCTGACGTCTCGCGAACGTCACGTCACGTATCGCGCGCGGCCACAATATTTGGTAACGCCGCACCGGCTAAACGTCGCGCGTGTCACGTGGGCTCGACCTTCGCAGCGTGTGTTGTCGTCTCGTCGTCGTCGTGTTGTCTCTCGGTGTCTCGTCGGTGTCAGATCGTTTATTCGTTTCCCCTCCCCCGAGGGACGCTGCAACGGGAAGATATATATATATATATATATATATATATATCTGTCTTTACCGGCGAGACTGGCGAGAGTCGGCGGGAGAATGATCAATCGAAGCCGAAGCTCGTTTCCCCGCGCCTCCTTTGTTTCCGCGGGGGGCCATTTGTTGCGGGTTTGTTATGTAATACAATGTAACGAATTGAATAGCCGGTGCAGATCTCTCCTCCCGTTCTCGAGTCTCGGTACAGCTGCGGAATTTCCAAGACGCATTCGAGCAAGCGTCTCCCTCCGAAGTGAACCGAGTGACTTGCGAATCTTCGAAACGCAGACCAATTTCCAGGGAGATCTTGTAAGTTCGATGCATTAGGTTCAGTGATTTGTAGCGATATTTCAAATCCGATTAGACGATCATCAGGTCCTCAAGATAAGTGTCCTTTAATTGCTCCACTTGTGTTTGAAGAAAAAAAAAAGAGAGAATTAGTCTTCAAGAATCTTGGAGATAATTTTGCCCGATTGGTTCTCAAGTCTCCTTGGACGCAGGACCTTCCCAAGTTTCAAGGAACATTCTCTGCAACAATCCCTTCTCGATCCCTTCGCTCTTCTTTCCCGAGCTTTTTTCTCTTCTTGGGTTTTTTTTTTATTGCTTGCCGGCCCCTCGGAGGATTCTCCTCGTGCTTCTCGTAACAGCTGGATTTTTATAGAACCCGAGCCCTTGAAGTAGTTATTCACTGCGGTCCCTTCTCCGGGTTTCTCTCCCTTGCTCTCGCCCGTGTATTTATTACAGCGATGCCGCCTCGAAGATCTCCCATGTGTTTCTCGGGCACGAGCGGGATTCCCCGCGCGATCGGCATTCCACGAAATATATCCGGCGACTCGATCGCTTCTCCTTCTCGACTGGACGAACGGAAGTCGGTCGCCACTGGAAGACTCCGCAATACCACGTCGCTCTGCGCCGGAATCAATCGATTCGATCCAAAGCCGATCCCGTCCCGCGAACAACGGAAGAATTCCTCGCCGCCGAGACCGACGAATTTCTTTCGCCTCCGAAGGGGGGTTTCTCCTCCCGGAATGCACTCGGGACCACTGTCGCGGGGACTCGCCCGGCGAATTCCCGACGGATAGAGGGGAGCCGACGACGGAGTCGGCGGAGACGGCGACGGGATCGCATCGGCTCGCTCACTGGCGGCGCGATTCGCTCCGTACGTCTATCTCCTCGGTCGCCGACTTCTTCGCCGACCGACATCGAATTACATACACATGTATACGTGTGTACGCATATGTATGTATCGATTCGAGCGAGAGACGACAACGACCAACGACCGTGTACGCGAGGAGACGGGCGGGAACAAAGAGACAGACGGGAGACACCGTCGGGGCCGCGGCGCGGCGCGACGCGACGCGACAGACGAGAGCGTTCTCCGCACGCTTGTGGCGGCCGTCGATCCGAGAAAGCGTGTGTCGTTATATTATGGTCGAATGTCGCATTGCAGCGGCGAGGCGACCAGGCGACGTCGGCGGCGACGGTGGTGGTGGTGGTGGTGGCGGCGGCGGCGACGGCGGGCTTAATCGTGCCGCCGTCGCCGCATCTGTCGTCGACCGTCCTCGTCGCACTCGCGCCAGAGAACTCCATTCCTCGCGTTTCTCTTCGTCCGGGACCGCTGTTCCAATGTCAGCGGGCCCTGCTGCTGCGTGACAGACGGCGAGCGTGGCGCGGCGAAAGGGCCGATCAAAGAGGAGAGGCCCTACGACGTTACGGACGAAGGATCCCAGTTCTTCGTAATACTCGGGCAGCGAGAAGTTGAGGAAACTTCAATTAAGTTTGAGGAACTTCGCTGCCCCCGAGTACAGGTGCTTCAAAAAGAAATGTTAACACTTGTATGGAAGTATAACTTTTTTTTAGAAACAGAACTGATAACACGAGATATTGTGTTAGATTTGAACCTAACGAATTTCTTATTGACGAGCGTATTATTATAATGAATGTAATATCTCTATAGGCGAAGTTTATTCTAACGACAAAGAAATAGTATAATTTTTGTCACCGAATCGTTAACATTAAAAATAGGTCCGCTCATTAAGTCCGCGTTAAATTTGCTTGGCAATTCTGGACCTCCTCCTTCCATTCCTAACTTAAAGATCACACTATCATAAAGACAAATGTATTTTGTTTTCAAAGAGTCTTCACTTGTTTACCATCATTGCAATTGCCCGTTCTAGACTGGAGGATGAGCCGACTCTCGGCTCATCCGCCTTCTATAGTGTACGTGACATAAACTATACATAAACTATAGATTTTTACCCGTCTACACCACTCACTCGGATGAGCCAAGAGTCGGCTCATCCTCCAGTCTAGAACGGGCAAATGTGCAAGATCTCCGATAGAAAATTGCAAATGTGATTGTAACAATCCAAAAAATTATGCTTTAGGGCTCTGGAAACGACTTGGAAAAAATTCTAACAACGTACTGATAATGATAAGGAACAAGTGGAGACTCTTTGGAAGACAAAATACGTTCGTTACTATATCTTGTGTTATCAGTTCCGTTTGTCTAAAAAAAGTTGCTTCCATGTAAGTGTAACATTTTTTTCAAGCGTCCTGTATTACGAAAAACGGAGATCTTTTCCTTACCACCCTGACGTATGGGTCGGCATTAGAATTTTCGATCCGAGTTTCCATTACTTCGGAATCGAGATATTCGGAAATGATGGTTATTGATCTCGCGTTGTTGGGTCGGAAAAAAATTGGGCGAACGCGAGCTCGCCTCCACTCCTCTCGCGTGACGGACTCGATTCGAGGCAATAGCGCGCGCTGGTGCGCAAAAATTGACTGAAAATCGTACGCGTGATGGAACACAAGTGGTCCAGTGGTCCCGACTGACGCAATGGTGGTAGTACAACGACCGGTGACACCGGTGTAAGTCAGTGTCGTTTGGCAGAATTTCTCTGCCGGACCGCGCGCTCCGGCGATCAAAACGCTTGTAGGCCACGTTCACCTAAATACTACCTAGTCGAGTACTTAGGTAAATTTGTGCGCAACGCGGCTTTTGTAGAGCTCATCGGTGTGTGCGTACCTATATAGTGCATTCAACCGAATTCGCTACAGGCGTAACCGACAGATTTGCCGGTAGATAAAATATCAAGCTAACAAACTGATAGGTTTATTTAGCTTCCAGCACGCTATCTTCATCACTCTCATTTAATACAGTTGTTTGATGTAACTGTACTGATGTGTATTCGGAACGTGGCGAAGATAATTTTCGCCAAGTTTTCTGAAGATAAGCAGAGATCCTTAGACGAGCGGAGATAAAACAAGAATATCTTTTTCACTTGTTATATATATATATTGATTTTATATTAATTGAACTGTTTATATATATTAATAATATATTATTTTATACATATTAAGTAAATTCTACATATTTTTTTCACTTAATATATATAATATTGATCGACATTTTTTAATATTTATAGAAAGTTACGTTTTCGACAAAAACGCGGAAAGAACAGCTTTGCTGAAGTACCTAAATACTTTAGCTAAATACAAAATAATTATGTAGATAGTTGCTCGAATGACAAAAACTATTTGCAGTATTATCATTATCATCTTGAGTGTCCTACATATTTCATCCTTATTATAGTAGGTATCCTAATTATTTCGGTCTAACAAAATTATTTTCAGATCTATATATATGTAGTTAAATTTTTAAAAACTTCAACAAAACAGTTCTTTCCGTGAAACGTTTAATGTGCTTTATATTAAGCAATTTATAGTAAGTCAATGTACATTTTTTATGTATAAAGTTTGCTTTGAAATTAAATGAATTTTTTATGTAAAAAGTTTGCTTTGAAATTTATCCTATGAATTAATAAATTAATTAAAATGCCAAATGAAACTTTGGCATCTGTTTATGTTACATATTATACATTAATTTGTTTTGTTATGATTTATTTGCGTAGGTTTAAGGTTTTTCCATCAAAACAATTCAATTTCCAATCACTTCTCGCTTCGACAAGATAATGATACTTAAAAATATTTAAAATAATCGCCAAGTCTTTTAATTTCTACTCTATCTGCGAATCGTAAGAGAAAGTGCGACAGCTCCGCTCTATATATATAGTACAGAATTGCTAATAGCGCTACAGAATACAGAGCGATGTTTACAACAGACTTCAACGCGACATGTTACGTTTCTCATCTCGTCTCGACTCTTCCCGAAATTATACGACCATGTAACTTATCTCGCCAAATTGCTAACGACGCGTGGTGTGATTCATCTTTATTACCTCGTATATTTATCGAAAATGTACGTCTCTCTTTAGGGGGTGGGGGGAGCGCCAAACGCGATGATTCGAATTGACTTCGCCTCTCTCCTTGATCAAAATTTCCCCTTATATCGAAAACGAGCCGTTCTGTCCCGGGGGGCAGTGCTAGAAATAGGATTTCTGAACCGCGTAGGGTACGGAGATCACGCCTCACTAACTCTTATATACGCGGAGTCGCGTGAACCAGCACACGCACATGACGCACACCGCACGCGCACTAACACAGGCGCGAGTCCGTTTCACATCGTCCTACCGCTGCACGGAACACGGGATATCCATCAGCTCGAGGGAAAAAGAGCGCGCGCTGGGAAATCTTTAACTTTGACCAACCGCGACGAGAGAGAGACGTCGTCGGCTCCGTTTCCTTTTATACCTCCGCCGCTGCCGTCGGAACACCGGAGGCGACGGACCTCCCCGTGTCCTTTCATTATCGCACGCATATTTCGCGACGCTTTGCGCAGACACGTTTTCCTCTCTTTTGTTGTCTGTCTCGGAACGTGCCCGAACGCGAGGAGCATCCACGCGGGCGGCTCTTTCCGCGTACCTGAACCCGCGGCGGCCGAATCCTCTCCGCGTCAGTCAGGATCGGAGGAGCATCGTCCACGCAAACAGGTTTCCCTCTCGGCGGCGCTTGTCCTGCTGGCGCGGACTCGCCTGCCGTTCCCCGCGGTGTCCCCGTGGAACGGAACGGAACGGAGCGGATCCGCGCTCCGCGATGACTCGACCCACTGACGACGGAGTCGCGCACTGCCACGGTGTTTATGACACTGCGCGGATGATGACACGCGAGAGTACCCACCGGGAGGAAGTTCTTTCTCTCTTTCTCTCTCTCTCTCTCTCTCTCTCTCTCTCTCTCTCTCTCTCTCTTTTCCCTCGCCCGTCTCCCGCTGGCCTTCTCCTCTCGCCTCCCACGCGAAGCTCTCTTTCTCTCTTCTTCTCGCGTGGAGACCACCGCGGTTACCCGAAGCGGATAGAGAGACGAGTTCACGTTGTTATACGCGGCTCGCACTCGGATGCGATCCGTTCACCGCCGTTCGCGGGGACGGCACCTGAATCTTCGGCCGACCGCCGAAGAGGAAGCGCAGGCAACGTTACTACTACTACCGCTGTGCCCTGGGCTCGTGGCGAGTAGACCGCCTCGACTGCCGGACTGCCCTCCAGCACCTGGGACCCAAGCGCCTGACGCTCTCGGTTCGTTCGCCGAGTACAATGCCTCCTATATCGGGTGTCCTTCTTTAAAACACCGCCTACCTCCGTCCTCGGCTATCCCCTTCAAGCCGACGAGGCCGCGTCTGTCTTTCTCTCTCTCTCGCTTTCACGAGGACACTCTCCGCTCTCCTAGCCAGGTAGTAGCCAGTGACTCTCATCCCGCCCAGGTGAGCGGCACCGATCGGTTCCAGGGCTGAGCGTAGTCGCGGCGTTTATGGGGAACTCGAGTAGGGGCCTCACGGAATCGCCCGCGAGTTTCGCCGAGGCTACTTTTTTTTATCCGCAAAATGACACGGTTTTTAATCGGGAATGTTTGTTCACGGAGAACGAATGGAGGTGGAAGAGAAATATTGCGAGCACGTATCTCTCTCTCCGATTTTAATTAAACTTTTCCATCAGTTCTCTCGAAATCTTGCATCGCAAATGTCAAAGTCATGCTGTTATGCTTATGACAAACGTAAGAGAATCATAACATTACAAAGAAATAAGTGTATGGTGTTATGACTTTCATTTTGCATTACTTTTTCAAGAGAGATTTTATAAAGGGAATATGTATATTACAAATCTGTATTCTTTTTTCATTTATTCCTTTTTACATTACATATATTGAAATGAAAAGATCACGTGATCGGAAATTGCATCAGGCAGAGCGGAACACGAATGGAATAGAATAGATATACAGAGTGGAATACGAAATAATTCATTTTCCGCTAATGCACCCGGTACCGCATGCAGAGACGCGCGCGTTCCATCGTCCCGTAGTTTAAAACGGACAATTCTCTGGAAGCTCTAACAGCGCGCTTCCCCGTTTACACATAATAATTTTATGTTATGATTTAATTTCCAGCTCTTGCCGCTGGTATCATTCGAGTTTTCGTGC